CTTTGTTGATCTCTTCTCCTTTGTGCATGTGCTTTCCACTAGTCTAGTCTCTCGTTGTCAAGTTCATATTCCGGATCTTTGCTTAGTTGATCTCTTCTCTTTGTGCATGTACTTCCACTAGTCTAGTCCCTCGTTGTCAAGTTCANAGTCCCTCGTTGTCAAGTTCATATTCCGGATCTTTGCTTAGTTGATCTCTTCTCTTTGTGCATGTACTTCCACTAGTCTAGTCCCTCGTTGTCAAATTCATGTTCCGGATCTTTGCTTAGTTGATCTCTACCCTTTGTGCATGTACTTTCACTAGTCTAGGCTCTCGTTGTCAAATTCATTACTTGTTGATCTCTTCTCCTTTGTGCATGTGTTTTCCACTAGTCTAGTCTCTCGTTGTCAAGTTCATGTTCCGGATCTTTGCTTAGTTGATCTCTTCTCCTTTGTGCATGTGCTTTCCACTAGTCTAGTCTCTGTTGTCAAGTTCATGTTCCGGATCTTTGCTTAGTTGATCTCTTATCTTTGAGCATGTACTTCCACTAGTCTAGTCCCTCGTTGTCAAGTTCATGGTCCGGATCTTTGCTTAGTTGATCTTTACCCTTTCTGCATGTACTTTCCACTAGTCTAGTCTCTAATTGTCAAGTTCGTGGTCCGGATCTTTACTTAGTTAGTCTCTTCTTGTTGTGCATATGCTTCCACTAATCTAGCCTCTCCTTGTCAAGTTCATATTTCGGATCTTTACTTATTTAGTCTCTTCTCTTTGTGCATGTGCTTCCACTAGTCTAAGCCTTCCCTTGTCAAGTTTATGTTTGATGTGGTGTTCCGGATCTTTACTTAATTAGTCTCTTCTCTTTGTGCATGTACTTTCCACTAGTCTAGTCTGTCATTGTCAAGTTTATGTTTGGTATGGTGTTCCGGGTCTTTACTTAGTTACTCTCTTCTCTTTGTGCATGTGCTTCCACTAGTCTAGCCTCTCATTGTCAAGTTCATATTGGATGTGATGTTCCGGACTTTACTTAGTTGACCTCTTCTCTTTGTGCATGTGCCTTCCACTAGTCTAGCCTCTCATTGTCAAGTTCATATTGGATGTGATGTTCCGGACCTTACTTAGTTGGCCTCTTCTCTTTGTGCACCACTAGTCTAGCCTCTCATTGTCAAATTCATATTTGATGTGATGTTCCGGGTCTTGCTTAGATGATCTTCTTCTCTATGAGTATGTGTTTTTCATTGGTCTAGCTTCTCATTGTCATATTATTCCAAGATATACTTATTCAATCTCTCACTATGGGGCGGGTGATCGACATTTGGTTGCTGCTAAGGGGGAGTTGATTTGATTAGGAGTTTTTTTTGTTCCTCTTCTCACTCTTCCTCCCTCACTCTCTCTCCTTCTTCCTCTCCCTTTTTTCCTCCTTCCTCCTCTAGACCTCTCTTTTTCCCCCCCTTTTATCACTTTGCCTTCTCTCTCCCTCTCTCTCATCCCCTCACTTGGCATATGACTAACCCTTCTCCCCTCACTTGGAAACATTGCCAGGGCACGAACGAAAAACGAAATCAGACTTCACTTGGTGGAGAAAAAGGGCAAGGGGAGGATAGCCGGTCCCTTGTGCCACCAAGGAGGCAAAAGAGAAAGGACGTTTGAAAAAGTGGGAGAAAGGCGGAATCCGGAAGAGAACATAAGTTGAGAGTGAGGTCAGTTTGACTCAACCATTTCCCCGACTGCATGGCTATGAGAAGAGAATGGGCTGATTGAGCAACAAGTGGGAACAAAGAGCAGCCAAAGAATTTGAAAAGATAGGCATGTGGGAAGGGCTATGTGTTGACTCCCAACGGGGGATTGTATGAATCTCCTTGCTTGTGTGGGATTGTGCAGGTAAGTGACAGCTAGAAATGCCTTGAGCGGGATAGGGGCAAGAGGAACCGGGCACCAAGAGGGAAAGGGAAGAGGGACAAAGGGGCTATGGGACCCTTGACATAGAGCCAACCCATGAAAATGACTTTTGCGCTTGAAGACTTGGAGTGTAAATGAGAGTGTAATCGTACCAAGGAAATTGCGATGTTGTGTGTGCATGCATATGAGGACCCCGAAAGGACTAAGGGGCCTACTTCAATAAGGAAAACAACAAATTGTGAGACCCGATGAATGCGTAGAGGCGAGGGAGAGGACGGTTCCGCCACACCCCGATGACACCATATAGCCACAATGCTTAGGGAAATGGTGTGTGGCCTAAGGATGACGCTTAGCCTACGCACAAGAGAAGAGAAACACTCGAAGAATCCTTTGACTGCCTGCGTATTGGAAGGAGTAATTGCATGAGAAAAAAAAAAAAAAAAAAAAAAATCAGCGTTGCGGAACAACCAGCGAGACTACCACCCGGCGTGAGGGTTGAGCTACATCCTCAATGTCAAAGCTCTGTCGCGCAATGGCCCACCCCCATCCATCTCAAAGCACTAGGTGGGGGTGACCCTGGGACGAATGGCCCGCGCCCTAAGCATGAGTGTGGGCGGGCCGAGCCAACTGGGACCCGCAGTGGGGTCGACTAAGGCTCGAAAGTCTACCGGGGTTTGACCCTACAAAAATGGTGGAGGTGACGGGCATGGGGTTAAACTGACCCTTGCGATTCCGAGGGGGACGCCCGACGCATTGACGTGTACATAACCCAAGATAAGAAAAATGGACTTGTGTTTGCTCTTTCCCTTGTGAGAAATCAGATTTGAGAGTGGCTGGGCGCATGGCATGACCAGGCCTGGAGGTATAACATGCATGCTATGCACTTTATCAGTCGTTCCTTTGAGGAATGGCTCTAGCCCTCCTTCGTCCGGTGCTGGTGTTCGCCAGTCCGGGGAAGCCTTGGGCAAGTCGCAGGTCGACCCTTCCTCTTTGTACGAAAGAAGGGCTCCAGTTACCTGGCAGGCGGTTGGTGTTTGGCTTAGGCCAGGTTCCAATGAAAATCCCGTGGCGGAGTGATCCGACCAAACGGGTGCCCTTCTATCTTCTTCTTTAAGCCCAGTGGGCTCATGCACTTTGCACTTTTTTTTGAAATGCGTGAAGGAAACAACATGAACACAACGGGTCATCAAGAAAGAACAATCCTACCCTATGAAAGGACAGACAAGTGAAGAGAAGGGAAATGAAGGGAGTTGCTAGACTCCAAGGAAAACTAGCTCACCTTTGAAGATTCTCACGAGAAGGAACCAACCACTATGTATGAAAGTAGGGGGAGTGACACTCATTGTCCTGAGAGAAAATCTGTGAGTTATGGGTAGGAAGCGCTGGGTGCACCAAGGGAATGACACTTGTACTATGTGTGTCCCACTTGGGACTTGTGTTTGCATGATGGGATTCGAGCGTCCTGCCTTTCGGAAGGAAAGGATTGGTCTGCACCGGCCAGTGCGGGTTGCGAAATGTCGTTCTCTTTTGTAGGCTGCCGTGTGTTCGTATATGGAGATCAGGGCGCCGAGCTGTCGGACGGGAGTTTGTCACGTCGGTTGATTAGTAGCATTCTCGTTCGAGTGGTGACGGACTTCGGCTCGATGATCTGCCAGACGGGGTGTGAAATCTCTTCAGGTGAGGCTTAGCCTGTTGGCTGGCGGAGGGAGTACCACTGCATGCGGACAAAGACGGAGCCTCGGAGACGATTAGTAGCTTCTCGTAGCATGGTTTCGGGAAAGGCTGATTCTTGTCGGACCGATGGAAGTGAATGCCCGGACGACTGACTTTGTCCCTGTATCTAGGCACTCGAGGTAACCCTCGATGTCGGTATGGATGTGCAAAGCGGCAAGATGGGATGGGGTATTCTGGGTAAGGAGAAAAGGGCGAATGCCTTGCCGAGACCTGGGTACCGCGCTCGCGACGGTTGAGCTGCGCTTGAGGTATGGGATAGAACTCTACCGATAGTACCAGCGGAGAGACCATATTGGGATGGCCGGTGAGGAGATGACCGACCCGTATATGAGGTTGCCTGATTTTTTTATGTGTTCCCCCTCTGTAAAAATTGATTGAGCTTGGAGTGTTGGACGGGACATATTTTTAAGTCTATCCCCCCCCCCCATCTAAGTCCGCACGAGTGAGAGATGATCGGAAGGAAGGAGGATAGAGGTCAATTGGAATAGAACCAAGAGAAAGAATGTGGGCAAATGGATGGCCAGCCGAGGGAATTATAGGAAGGGGGCACTTAGGAATGGAGAGGTAAAATAGGGAGACCTTGATGAGGGGTCTGAAATAATTCTCATCTAGGACAAGGGTTAACCTGACCAAAAAGATCGGTTGGTGCCTTTTTATGAAAACAGGGGTCGGGTGCTGAAAACAAGATGGCATGATGTTTGCCTTCCCCGATCTACACTAGCGGCCCGAAAATGCCAGCAGATATAAAGGATGGGGTATCGGTCGTCCTCCCGGAAAATGGGACGTGGGCGGACCTTGAACCAGCGTATCAAACGGTAATGCTGGAAGAAGAGGATGCTTTCTTTTGGATAGAAACAATATGGACTAATGTCAGCTTGACGAGGTTGTCACCCCCGAGTGGTTTGGAGGGTTTGAACACATTTTGGAAGTAGCCGACTCCATGAGAAAGGTGCATATAGAGTGTGTCTGGCTGAGTGAGGAGTTTTATAGGCTCTCATTGAAATATGGGCCCTTCTACGGAGATAAAGCCGAGGAAGTCATCATTGTCCTAAGAATAGGCAGGTATGACCGCCTAGAGGTAGAGGCGGAGTCTTGGGACGCCATAGTTAGCCGAGAGGCGGGGGCCGCACCCTCCTACGTAGACGATGTCTTTAAACTATTTGAGGTGTTGTGGTTCGACTAAATGAGGACGAGGGATCGAACACCGCGAAAAGGTCTGAGTGTGGAGGGTGCTTGTGAATTGAGGTGTAACATAAGAAAGGGAGTGTGTACATTAGGCCGTAGATGGTGCATAAGGATCGAAACAAGGGGGAAGTGACAGCAACCGGAAAAAAGGGGGGGGGTAGAATTGTACGTGTATGAGTCGTGGATAGCGGCAAGAACCAGTGTACGATAAGTAGGGAGGGCTGAAAGACTAAAACACGAAAGGCATAGAATCTCGGTGGGTGCAGCAATCGAACTAAGAAAGCAGGAAAGGAGACATTGCAAGATGGTTTGGCGAATGACGTTCTGGGAGGATAGACCTCGTGGGATCCTGCTACCAAGAATATCAGAAGGCAGGGTCGAAATAAGCCTGCCAGCAAGAAATGCGGTAAGCAATCCGGTAATGGACTTGGTGGGGGTAGAGTTGGTGGAGGACACGGTGTACCTAGTAGTGGAGCTGGAATGGCGTGCGAGAGGGGAGTTCGGGGGCGTAAATTTGGACCTCCCAGGGCGAGTGCATGCGACGGGATCCTTACACCTGTCGGAAGAAGGGTGGCGGAGCTTTGGGATTGCCTTGGCCTCCGGGGATGACCTTGTGCGAATGTTCGAAGGGGCATGGCAAATAACCTGGCGGGAGGGGTTTGAGTTTGCAGACCCGGAACGAGATGACGTGACGGCGGAGGTAAGAGTTGCCGCGGCAGGGATCTTCGAGCTGCCCAATGAGGTCATACAGATGAGTCTACCGCCCTTTCTGTTGAGGCTAATGGGAGGCATAGAGCAAGTGGAGCAGGCGGTAACTGCAGTAACTAGGCTAAATTTTGACGAAGCGTTAATGTATCAAGAATACTATCGGGCCTTCCTAGAGATGGGGCCTTTCGGGGACGAACAGGGGCGCAAGGTGCTTTGCATTCTACAAGCAGTAGTAAATACTAGGTCGGAAGTCCCACAAATAAGTGATGAGGCCATGTGGGGAATCATCCGGCGGGAGGTAGGTCGGGGCGCAACCTACGTAGATGATCTCTACCGGCTGTACGAGCTGCCAGAGGGGGCTATTACTCCCAGGGGTATGGAGGGATAGTTGGGACTAGAAAAAAGGAATGAAAACACGAAGGACAAGGAGGGCAGTAGGTGGGCGGTTTCTGAGGATTGGCTGTAACCCTTTGTATGTGGACTATGAAGGGAATCACCAAGGCAACGATGACAGCAAAACGTGAGCGAATGGAACGCCAGCCCCGTGTGCGAATGAAACGCCAGCCCCGGTATCCCGGGCTGCCTTGGAATAACGGTGGACGATGGGAAGTATCCCTCCCGAGTTCTACCTATCGGGGATTCGACATAGAATGGCGGGCCGTGACTTTAGGACGGGACGCCACCTTCATGTTGGTAGAATGTCGGTGGACAGGGATGAGACTCAATCGAGGACCCGGGGACGATCTGTATTCCAATCTGGAAGTTACCGGGACCATGTATCTGCCTGAGATCAGCTGACACTCGTTGGGGGTAGAAATAGCACAAGGTCATGAGCTGACACCGGTCTTTCGAAGGGTCGCCCGGACGTTGACCCGGATAGGACAATCAGTCAGGGGTAGAAGGAACGTGGGCTTACTTACCCGGGTGGAAATGGGAGGTTGGAGGGCGTTCAGGGCACCCGACCACGCCGCTGAGATGCCGAGTGCCCCGTTTTATGATAGACCTCATCTTCGGAAGTCTCGCAAGGGCGCAAGAGCTGGCAGACTCAGCAATAGTCTGGGTAGGCCACTTTCCCTCTCCTACCATTGGGATGTTCTACGATGTCGCTGTGGAGCATGGGCCGTTCTGGGGAAACAGGGCCCACGAGTTACTGGAAGTCATCCACATCCTGATGTTTAGGGCGCCACAGCTAGACAGGGCGGGATGCGAACGCATAATCAGGAGGGAAATTGAGATAAGAGAGAGTTATTTAGCAGGGATGGCTGAACTATTCGAGGAGCCGACCGAACCAGAAGAGCTGCGAGGGCGAGAGCGGGACTAGCATCCGCAGGCGGATCAATAAGGCAGATCGAGTATAGTTCGTTGGGTACGGAAGTTCGCCGATGGGAATAAGAAAGGGGCCTCGGACCTGGATGGCTAAAACCCACTAGAAAAACAAAGAAGGGGGCAGACTCCTAATGATTGACCATAACCCTGAAGGTCAAAAACAGGAAACGCGGCTCGGGAAGACTTCCCTTAGCAGGATGCCTAACCCGGACTCCCTCGCATCGGCCGACGGAACAAGGGCACTACAAACGAGCTTGTGATAAGGGAGCCGACGGAACAAGGGCACTACAAACGAGTTTGTGATAAGGGAAGCCAAGTCACGTTCATAGCCCGGCTGGGCGGCAGGGCCAGTCGTGGCTCCTCCTTAAGAAAGGGCAATCAGGAAACGGGGATAGGAAAGGGGGCTATAAAGATAAGCCAACAGAGTTGGGAGCCTAGGGAACCTAAATACCTCGCATTGCGTGTGTCCTGGGAATTCTTTGGCTTATGCAGAGTTAGGCAAAATGGCAACGGAGGAGGAGACAGATAACCGTTAGAGTGAAGGAGAACCAGGCTTAGGAGGCAGTGCTGCACAAAGCGAAGGGGGGCAAAAGGACAGAGAATCGATAAATCCGGATGGTACCAAACGGAACCGGAAGGAAATCTCCACAGGAGAGAGCTCGGGGAAAGCCGGGGGAAGCAGGCAAGGGACTCAGGAGACCAAGGAGGGCAGAAATAAGGATAGGACAAGCCCCCGAAACTCGGAAAGAGCCATGTCTAAGAAAGTAAGGGTCACGGATGCGAGGCGCAAACTAGTCGAGATAGAAAAGAAGACCGTGGAATACAAGGCAAGATTGACTGAGGAAATGATGACTGGGAACGAAGAAGGCCCTCTGCAGGAGGAACCCCGGAACGAACGGAAAGCCAGCCGAGGTGGGACTAGACAAGGGGATAAAGGTAGTGACCGTGGGGGAACGTCGAGCAAGAGAAGGAAAGAGAGAGAAAACTCTCTGGGGATGAAAGCAAAAAAGGCTATGTCTCTGCCAGCCATGGATAGTAGGGTTAGCCGCCTGCCGACCACGCCAGCAGTAACACGAGGATGCGAAGGACTTTCGAGCCTTAGGGAAAGAGTGTTGGGATGGTTTGACCCGGAAGGAACTATGAAAACCAGGGAGGGACAGAAGGCCGGCAAGGAAGGTCCGGATAACAGTATGGCAGGCGAGGCCAGCAGCTCCGAGGGCGGCCTTAAGAAGATAGTGTCGTCCCTTGCGCGAGCACTAAACAAAAATCAAGGCTACCTAGCGGATGCTAAGAAAAAGTTGACGTTTGATGGGGCGAACATCACGGAATTCCTGATAGATTATGAGAATCTGGCTGCGTTGTTGAAATGGACCGAAGAAGAGAAGATGGACCACCTGGGGCAGCATGTGTCTTTGAGCCTAGGGCGGGACATAATGACCATTGTGGCCACGAGCCGGTCTTGGAAAGAGACCCGAGATGTGATGATGAGAAAATATCTGGCAGCAGAGAAGATGGCAACGGAGGCCGATTTAGCGGGAGTCCAGAGGAAGAACTTCGCAACGTACAATGACTTTCTACGGGAGTTTACTTTGGTACCACTAAGAATCCCCGGGGTCACGGACCGAATCATGAGTAAGTACTTCCTCAGACAGTTCTCCGAGTTCGACAAGGACAAGATTCTGTCGGCTTACCAACAAACGAGCAAATTTGTAAACACCAGGGACGTTGATTTCAGTACGGTAACGGATCTGGCCGAAAGGATGGTAGTGACGGAAATATTGGCCTTGCTTAAGAAAGGGGAGGTCATAGATTTGACCGGTAGAACAGGCGACAAGGTAAAGAAGGGGATTGAAAGTCTACATGAGCGGGTGCACGGGGTCGACAACAAAATTGAAAGAATGGAGGGCGCGCTACTGGTTATGCAGGCGCAAGTATCCCGACCCGCCCTCCCTCCCCAGGAAGTTGTGGTTCCGCCAGGCGTAGCCAACCGGGGATTCGGACGGAGAGATCCTGCTAACGATCAATGCAAGTACTGTACCGCGATGGGACATTATGTGCGCGCATGTCCAAAGCTCAACTATGATATCCTAAAAAGGAGATGCACCAGGTCATTAAAGGGAGAGATATTCGGACCACAGGGAGAGCGGGTGAATTGGAACTCACYAGGAGGAATGSGACGAGCCRTTATCATGCTCAATGGGTTAGAGATAGCGGTCGTRSAAGCTGAGCCGGTGGTCRATATCGTTTGGGATCAACTGCGGGGCCGCGGGCCGCAGGTCAACTTTATCTTGGAAAACGACGAACGTGATAGGGTGAACGCAACCACTCGACTAGGAACGGCTGGGAGAAGGATTAACCGTGACACCATTATGGAGGAGGTCGCCGGAAGCTCCGAACCCCAGGCAGAACCTGAGGCCGAGGAACCAAAGAAAGTCTATGGGAAGCCTAGGGAAGAGGAGCCTGCGGACAAAGTTACCGTTGCTAAGACGAAGTTTCGGTATCAAATTTCGATCTTGACCTTGCCTGAGCTCGACGACACCATTAGCAAGTTACTAGGGACCATGGTGTCAGTGTCTTTTCAGACCATGCTGCAAGCTAGCGCTAGGTTGCTCAAAGGGCTTAGACAACTGTTGACTCGGCGGCGGGTAGAAATAGGCGAGAACCCCGAATTACCAGAAGGGAAGAGGGAGGAGGAAGCTCCATAAGAAGTGACTAACCTTCAGAGGAGCCACGGGGACGTGGAGGATCTCGAAAAAGTCTTTGCAGACATTCGTTTGAGCTTGCCCGACCGAGAGGGCGGCGAAGTCATGAGATCACCACCCGGGACAAAGCTTAGCTTTCATGCACTGCCCGTAGGGAAACTGAAAATCCAGATCGGGACTCATCATACCGACGCGTTAGTAGACGGGGGAGCAGAAATCACTCTCATAAGACGAGATTTCGCAACGATCACGGGATGTACCGTAAACAAGGAAGTAACAGAGAGCATCCGGGGAACTGGCGGGGAAATCCCGTTCACTGGGTACGTCACGAAGTCTGCTGTGAAGGCAGGAGTCAGGGAATCGATCTGGTCGTTTCAGCGGATGACCGTAATGGAGGAAATGGACCATGACATAATCCTCGGGAGACCGTGGTGCGCGAACGTGGAGATGATAGGCATGCACTTGCACGATGGCTCATACATGGTAGACATAGAGGACCCCGTGACCGGCCGGGGAGAGCTCCTCCGACTCCTTGGAACGGGAGGAGACCCCCGAAAGGGGAAATTGGCAACATGGTCGCCGTCGTTCGAGGATAGCACGCGAAAAGGGGCTTTCGCACGGATGGAAGGTATGAGAGAAAGGGTAGAAATCATGATTGAGGAAGCATTCAACACAAAGGAGTGGATCAAGATGGGCTTGCCCCAGAAGAAGAGGAGGCAGGAGGACGAAGTCCTAGGTGTTATGGTAGCGGAAAAGGAGTCAGAGGTCGAACTTGGTGCTAGCCTGCCCAAACGGAAAGAAGTATGCATAGACGTGCCAAAAGTCGCACTCGAGATCCCCGATCTATTACAACTCATCAAGGCCCTCAGATACCACAAGGTAGGAGTGGATTCGGCAGCCTTGACCAAGTTCGAAAGAGAGGTGCAAAAGGGATATTGCCTGAATGGGAAACTAGTTAGTATTCAACCACGAGTCGTAGAGGCGACGGGGGCATATTCCGACTGTTCATTTTTTAGGAGAAAGATCCCGGAAGGAAGTGTTCGAAAGTACAAGCCGGTAGGGAAGAAAGCAAAACCGGTCTCGATCCTGCTAGAGACATCAAAGGAAGAGGCTATGGAGAAGGAGGAAGAGGTCATTTGAGTGATCCGAGAAAGAAGGGCGACGGAGGGACATCGGATACCAGATGAGGTAGCTGACACAATGAAGATAGGGATAGACGGGTTCTTAACGAAAGAAGAAACCCGCCTGATCAAAAGGATCTGCTAGGAGTTTCACCTGACATTTGCCTTTACTGATCACCAGAAGAGACGACTGGATGCGAAGCTGATCCCTCCGGTCAGAATCCACACGGTAGAACATGAGTGCTGGAATGACAAGGGGCCATCCTATGAATTTGGGATAGTAGGAGAAGTAACAGACCTCCTCTGAGCAAAGATGGACTCCTTCGTTGCGGAGCCCACGGCATCGTCATACGCAAATCGGTGGTTCATCTTTCGAAAGCCTAACAAGATGCTAAGGTGGATTCAGGACCTGCAAAAGTTGAATGCGGTAACCATCCGGGATGCTGGCTCGCTACCACAAGCTGACTTATTAGCAGAATCGCACGCCGGTCGGAGCATTTACTCCCTGATAGATCTGTACTCAGGGTACGACCAGCTTCCGTTGGATGTTCGGGACAGGCCATACACCGCTATGCACACCCCTGTAGGCCAACTACAGATACAAAGTGACCCTTATGGGATTCACAAACGCGGTGGCCGAAGCGCAACGCAGGATGCTCGCCGTGGCTGGGGACATATTCCCAGAAAAATGTGAGCCTTACATCGATGACAATCCGATCAAAGGCGCGCAGGAGAAGGACGAGACGAAATTTCAGCCAGGGATCCGACGTTTTGTGTGGGACCACCTACAGTACATCAAGGAATTACTCCGCCGGTTCCTAGTATACAACATTACGGTTAATGGACCAAAGAGGATCCTAGCAGTACCGGAGGTAACTATACTAGGATTTCGTTGCGGTGCTTACGGTAGGAAGCCGAATCCGGCAAAGACCGACAAGATATCACAGTGGCTGACACCACTGCGCACGACGATGGAGGTAAGGGCATTCCTAGGCGTAGTCGGCTTTTGGAGGATCTTCATTAAGAACTTTGCCAAGATTGCGGAGCCTATCCGGGCTATGATCAGGGAAGAAGAAACCATGGATTGGACGGAGGAGCGAGAAGGAGTTGTCCAAAGGATCAAGGACATATTGACATCTGAGACTGTCGCCCTGTCCGCGCCTTGTTTTAATGACGAAGTAGGACGACCCTTCATCCTAGAGACGGATGAAGGACCTATGACCGTAGGAGGTGTGTTGATTCAAAGGGATGAGGGAGGAAAAGAAAGGCCAATTAGGTTTGAAAGTAGAACCCTGAACTCCGCAGAGCGGCGGTACTCACAGTTCAAGAAGGAGGKCCTAGCCATCTTGCACTGTCTTAAGACCTTTCAGGCCTACCTATTTGGGAGGCGGTTCATCCTCAGGATCGATCCGACGAATGTTGCAGGGGCCTTAAAGAATTACAGCCCTATAGATCCGACAGTGGGGAGATGGGTAGGATTTATCTGGCAGTTCGATTATAAGATCGAACGGATTGCAGGAATTAAGAACAAGGCTGATGGGCTGAGCCGGGTCTGCATCACTCCCGAAGGGGTGGAGGATGCGGAGCGCATAGACGCGTTCCTCGAATACGAAGGAGAAACTCTTGCGGTGGATAACGAAAGGATGAGCGAAGGATGCACGTCGGGAGAACTGTTGATCCAGACTTTGGAGAAGGGGGCACCTGCCGTAGTAGCAGAACTTAGAGAAGGACCAGTCACCACTCGAGGACGCAGAGAAGAAAATGACTCATGGGGAACGATAGTAGGACCGAAAGAGGAGCTAATAGCAATGGCGGTCGAGGGAGGCCGGGAAGCAGTGATGAGCTTAGTGGAATCTTGGGAAAGGAAAGAATTGCGATGGTTGGTAAATCAGGTGCAGGAAGGAAAGGATGGGGGCAAGGAAGGAGAGGAGTTTTTCTATGTCCAATCATACGAAGGGCTCTTTCGGGAGATCGGGCTGTTATTGGTAGGAAACAAACAACCTACCGAAGTCAGTATTAAAGCAAGAGAAGAAGCCGAAAGGTATGTCCTAAGGGGCGGGCATTTGTTCCGAAGGGAGGAAGGTGTTATGCCCAGAAGGGTTGTGTGCGGAAGATCTAGGCAAGTAGATGTTATCCAGGCAATGCACGATGGGTTGGCTGGACGTCATCGGTCGTCCAAAGGAACGCTTGCAAAGATGACGCCACTCTATTATTGGCCAGGCATGGCAGGCATGGTCGCCATATACTGCCAGACTTGCCTTATTTGCCAAGAACGAAGCTCGGTGCGGGTCTTCGAGCCGCTTAGACCAACACGGGTGCTAGGGCCGGGACATCTGGTCCACCTCGACCTTGCGGTTATGCCTGTATCAACGGATGGGTACAGGTATATCCTGGATGCGCGAGATAACTTGAGTGGGTTCGTGGAGGCGGTCGCTCTCAAGAAAAAGACAGGGAGGAGTATGGCGGACTGGATAGAAGACTTCTACTTGAGGCATCCGTTCGTCATGAGGTTTATAGCAGACAATGGGACGGAGTTTGTAAACCAAGAAGTATTGGGGATGCTTAAGAGACTCTGCGTACCGATCAAACTCATCGAGCCGTATCACCCTGAGGCCAATGCACCTGTGCAAAGGGGGCACCGAACCTTGAAGAACACGATTGCGAAGCTCGCAGCGGACCATCTGGGGAACTGGCCTAGGTATCTTAAGCAGGCTGTCTTTGCAGAGAATATGACCCCTAAAAGGACAACAGGATGTATCCCGGCAGAGCTTTGGTACGGAAGAGAGATCGACTTTCCTGTGGAAGCCTTGATACCTACCTGGAATAGATTAGATGATGATCCGCAAATGACCACTGAATAGTTAATTGAGGCAAGATGTCAACAGATCCTTAAGAACGAGGAGGTCATGGAGGACATCGCCAACCGAGTACTAGACAGCAGAATGAGGGCCAAAGCAAGGTGGGACCAGGTTAAGAATGTCAGAAAGGAGCCACTTCAAGTAGGAGAGATGGTATTGCTAAGGAACTCGGCACTAGAAAGTACTTGGTCGGGACAGCTAGGAAGGAGGTTCAAAGGCCCCTACCGGGTCGCCAAGCGGGTGAGACTGAACACCTTCGAACTAGAAGGTTTGGATGAAACTGGATTGAAAGGGCCCTTCCTGGGGCAACGATTGGTCAGGTTTCTAAGTCGGGATCCAGTGGAACAATGGCTTCAGGAGGCCGAAGATAAGAAAACTGAGGAGCCATAAGCTAAAGACTGACCACAGTCTTGCCCACACTATGGTTTGTCTCTGACCATGTTCATGGGGCTGTCATTTTTTTTTGGGGACTGACGCTTTGGCCTGTACTGACTGAGGTTGAAAGGCAGCGTGACTTGGGGGTTTGCAATATCTGGCTTGTGCGACGATGGGAAGGGATGTTTGGGGCATTGTACCATAGTTTTTGACGGGAAAAAAATGAGATTTTTACGAACAACGCTTGTGCATAAGGGAGGGGAATGTATAAAAGGGGCATGATGCGAAGGATACTGGGAGCATTTTTGGAAAAGGAGCCGTCTACCGGACTGGGGGGGGGATGTGTGTATGCAGGGCATTGCGGATGTTGTTTTGTTATACAGAACCTAGGAGAAAACCGAGAGAAGACAAAAGAATGGAATTCGGCAATGAGAACGACAGCGGGGCGATCAACAGGCCTACCGGAGGGGGGGAAGCAGGACCGAGCCAAGGGAGGAGGGAGGCGAAGAGAAAGTTGTACATAGGACTCATGGGTGGGCCAGTGTTGTGTGTCGTCCATGGATTTCTGTCAACTTAAGCAAGCGATCAACCCCGCAGGCAATCGATCAGCGAAATGAATCATCAGCCAGATCGAAATGAGTCATCACCCAGATCGGAATGAATCTTCAGAAAGATCGGAGTGAATCTTCAGCCTGCGCGGTTGATCGGCTGCGCAAGATGAATCTATGCAAGGACGACACAATCGCGCACTTGAGCACATGTGCATACGGGCACTCCGCTGGAGACGCGCGCATTGCAAATGCACACACTCGTTCACAAGACAGGTGGTGGGGAGCAGGTCGCGCCTGTAGGACACACGCGCATTGCATACATGCCACATCATGCATCCGCGAACAAAAACCTTCCGCATGGAGACGCGCACATGCACATGCACACACTCGTTCAGTCTACATAAACACATCCGCACACACAGACACACGGAGTGAATAGCGATCGAGTCGAAATGGACACGTGCCAACTCACCGGATGAACCCGTAGCCAATGGAAGAATACGCAAGCAGGTGGACGCGCACAAGCGGATGACCACGCGAGCAGGTTGACGTGATAGGTGGACGATAAAGCGATCTGCGAGGAATATGGCGTGGACAGACACGTGAAAGGTCGGCAACGAGTGCGGTGCGACGCGGAAGGTGACGTGGAACGCAACGCGGAAGGTGAAGGAGGACGATGTGCGTTGGTCCGACGGAGGTTTGCCTCGTTCTGCTTGCAAGCTATGGCGCTCCGCCTGTGAGGGGCGCTGGTGTTGGCGGCAATGCCAGTGCGAGACGTCCGTCCGGCAGCATCTCACCAGCGAAAACTCAGAATACGGCCTGATTCGCACGGGCGCCGCTCGAATTTGTACGCGCGAGGATTTCAAGCCCCCACGCATAATCCTTATCGGCCTTGCGCGCAAATGGTCCGTGGGTCGCCGAACGACAGTCTGATTCGCACATCGTGCGCATCGTGCGGTGGTGCGACGTCGAAATCCACGAGAGGGGGGGCCGGTGCGAACGTCATGAAAAAA